AAGGGGCTGATTGAACTCATTACTAATATACATAAAAATTTAAATACATAGTATATGTACATATATGTATGAAAGTACATATTCATTTTATTAACATCTATTTGTTCATGTCCATGTGTCCGATTTTCGCTCTTCGAAGTCCTATATCGGAAACAAATGAAGCCCAGAGGAATTGGCAATGGTCTGGGACAAACAGCGAGAAAGTAAAGAGAGCTGTCTGTCGACAGTCCAGCTTCATTAATTTAATACTGTCATGGAATTGCTCTCTTTATATTTTAACCGATTGATCGTCGCCTATTTATATATATGTGTGTATTTTTGTATGTATTTGTATTTGTCTGAACCTGACATTGGTCCTTGTCCTAATAGTTCGTATGTTAAAATTATTTTCAGAATATTTACTTATTTTACTACGTTTTTGTATGTTTGCTTGTGTTTGGTGGTGGATCTAATCCGATCTAAATCCACAAAACGAATGGCAAAATGAAGAGAGCTATCCATCGACAGTCAAGTTTTATAATATACTGTCATGGAATTGCTCTTTTTGTATAGTATTCGACAATCAGCAAAGTTTACTAAAATTCCATGTTTTTCTGCATTTTGTATATGTCCACAAACGGCATCTGGCTCTTAACTGTTATGCCCAAGGTGCTTTTAAAAACAAGTTTCCCAATCTGTTAATGCTGACTGTTCAGTAATATTTGTTTGAACATACTTAGTAGCAAGTAAATGGGGGTTAGCTTTAAGGCGCTTAGCCTCTGACACTAACTTTAACACGAGGTAAGGATCTATTGATAATATCAGGCAGATTCGGCAATTCGTTTTCGAGTGGTTTTCAATGTCACTTGGAATGCAAATTTTAAGGGGTGAAAATTCGCTCGGAAATGGTATGTACAACCTGCCTGAATATAGGTATTTCGTCTTTAGTTGAATTATAAATTAACTAGAAACTTAGTCCTAAAAACTCGTATTTTCCCCCAGAGAAAAGTCTATCCATTACAAAATCCAATTTTGTTAGCCATAAGAACGTCAGTCGACTTTCAATGTTTTATTAACATCGATCATCTAGCAAACATCTAGTTCCAGGATTTACTTCATTGTAATTCAAACTTAATTTAAAGGAATTAAAATACTATTTACTTAAAGACCACCACGGCCTCGGCCACCCGTCGGTCCTCCTTGCCATGCCCCACGTCCACCACCAGGAGCACCCGTTGGTGGGCCGCCTCTTCCACCTCCACCTGGGCCGCCTCGACCTCTTCCTCGTGCTACAAATGTAAATAGATTAGATGCGTACGCAAATCGCACATGCTAACACTTTTACCTTGCGCTCGAAGTATCGCCGCTTTTCCTCTGCCAGCCGTCCCGCCCAATCCCTTTCCTGTCTGTTTTTTAAACATCGGCGCATTCTTCAACATGTCAGGTAGGATAAGGAAGCGAATTTTTGACCCGCGTATGTACACGTTTTCCAAGTTTGCCGTTCGTCCATCACGATATGTGACTGTGATTTGTGTCATTTGGCAATTCATGTTATCTTCTGCCTCTATTAGTTTGCCCCGGTATACTTCGCCGGTAATTGTCTCACACGTGATAATATGCCCCTCTGCTTCGTGTAGCACTTTTATTGGTACACCGATAGACATTTCGTTTTATTTGATGATATTTTATATGAATAATTAAATATTTATTTGTGAACGTGGTGCAAAAGTAGCTTTTTTGCAGAACGATAATTAAAACGTTTATACTCCTTTGACAGCCGAAAAGCAACTCGAGCGAGTTCGCCATTTTCATGCTGAATGTGCTTGTCGGTATGCTTGACGGAAAGCTTGAGAAAAATATAATACAGTTTGAGAGCTTTCTAGGCGAGCGGCCTTAAAAATGTGAAATTGCGCTAAAGAATAATTTTCTTGAATAGCTTAAAAATTGAGCATACGGCTATTTTTTTTTTGTTAAATTCTGGAATTTTTTTATATGAAAAAAAGGGTAGGACAGTCAGAAAAAAATTCTCAAAAATCAACGCGATTTTTTAGAGATTTGAAATTTGCATATTATTATAATAAAATTTAATGCGCTATAAAACTGCATACCTGAATTCTTTTTCGAAATTCGTATCAAAAAGTTCGTGATTTTATTGAAATTTGCAGTTTTCTTAATACTTGTACACAGTATCAATCTTGGATTTAAATGGAGTTTGCTAAAATATAAGCCATGTTTTAATACAAAATTAACAAAACAAAAAAAATTTAGCATGTAAAACATTGCGAGTATTAACAAAAAAAAGAGCCGTACGCCCATTTTGGGAGTAACTGTATGTATTATTATCTCATTGAGATAAATGTAATAAAGTATGAAGTAGTTATTTACATCTCTAACTAAATTTTTTATTTCCTCTAGGTGCAGATGAATGTTTGTTTTATGCGTTGTGGCTTATAATTTAAGCGAACAAGCGATCCCTTTCATCCCTATAAATATGGTTATAAACCCATAATATTATTATCTCATTTGTGTTATTCTAGCAAACTATGCTACGTAGAGACTTTTCTTTATCATAATCTTATCTTCCCTTTATTTGTGTTTACCCATTCTGACTTGTTTCTAGTGCATCATCACCACGACAATCGAGGTTGAGTAAACAAAGGAATAACAAATTTTAAGTATTAACAATTTCAAAACAGAGTAAACAAGCTTCACAGCCACCTGATAAAGTAGTAAAGATACACAGCATCATAAAAATGGCTTGATGACAACGTGCCTGTAGTCGAGAAAATTCCTGATAGTACATAGCTTATTTAATTTAAGTTCTAAATGACATAACTAACAAATGTTAAGTTCATGTTTCGATTATTCAAAAGAGTATTTCAAATTATTTCACTACAATTGGCTTTCTTGATGGCAAAAACCAATACATACATATAAATATATCTTTTCGACTAAATTGCCAATTTTTCTATTACAGCGACCCAACATTTAGTAGTAGTTTCAGCAGTAGAAGAGAAGTTAATGAAAATGCTCTTGGATTCCCTAGTGTATCTAAGGCACGTACCATCTCCACCTCCTCTTGCGCTACCAACATGTCGACTGAGTCCTTCTGTATCTCTCTCGGCGTAGGGCCTCTGTGGTGGTTTTGATGTCCCTACCCACCACAGAACTGATCACGATAGGGCGTCACTCTTAACTGGTACGTTAAACACTACTTTTAAATTTAAAAATGTAGCCTATGTACATAATAATTAAAATATGCCTCCAACTTAGATTACTCTCGGAAAACTTCTGTGGATTCAACTGGTGGCAGCGTATTCGAACACAGCCGCACTTCATCGGAGTGCTCTGATTCGGACGGCAGCGATTCACAGCATAGCAGTGATGTTCACTCACTATATTCAGAGGAAGATTGCCAAGAGATGGTCAAACATATTTTGCAACATGACAATCCAACTCGTATAACCATCAAATTGCACGTAACTGAAAACAAATACACGGAATGGGAGTCGGTAAGTTTAGTAGCAGCTTAAGCCAATTGGAAAATATCATTTGAACGCTTAAATTTGTATTTATTTGTTACTTCGGTATTTTCAGGTTTTGAACCCCATAAATAACATCTTGTACGTTGCAATGCCTGA